AATCCCAGAGTTAGTATGTCAGAATAAACATCTGATGGTAACTGATCATGCGAACGCATTTCTTTCTTCATTTACTTTTTTCATTCAGGAATCTACATACAGCAATGACAACAAAGAGGCTCCCTATCAGTTTAACGGGAGAACTGTCTTTTCTTCCTTTAGGCATCCGTCCTTCGACAACTAATCAATCTGGTTGACTATATGTCAGCAAAGTATAGAAGAAATTGAATTGCGGGGAAATGAAAAACCGCCTTTCTCTTTCCGATTTGAATTTTGGGGTCACGCTGTAGTCTAAAAAGTATTGTCTGATCTGTTTAGCTGGAATTCTTGTGCAAGCCCAATGGAAGTTCCTCTATTTTATACTTGATGTCATATGCATTGTATGGCGCACTCGTCGACGTCCCTCAGAAAATGCCTGGGTTTGGAGTATCAAATGTGCTATTTTCAAACTAATGGAGAGCTTTGTCTCATCTTCATGGCAAAAAAGTTAAAGCTGGCAGTGCAGCCCTTGAATAGGCGCGAATAAGCAACTCTTTCCCGCATGGTGCGTCGTTGGTTCCGATATTGTTTTCCGTATATAGCGGCAACTTTATTTCGAGGTAGTCATTTTCACTGGTGATGTCAAGACATGCAATGCAATAAAAAACGCAGCCATCGCAACGAAATTCCGGAAACCACGAAGCATTTTGATGCTTAGTTAGTTCGGCGTTTTCTACCAAGAAATATACTTAAATGTGCAGTCTTACGCTTGTATCTGGGTTGACAAAAGTTTTCGACGAAAAAGTATGACATCAACCTGGCCCTGCTGAGAACCTGAAGCTACAATTTCGATTTGGGCTTTTGATGGTCATGAACGTAATGCCCTCACTACATTGTAATGGTCCAAAACCTAACTAGTTTAATGGACTACCTTACATGTTCTTTTATTATCTTTTATTTTGAATTTTGTCATCACTCCAATGGGTTCATTTTTTACGACAGCATCACCACTAAGCGCAGCCATGATGTATTTTTGTTAGTTTTCTTGACTATTTTATAGTTTCTCTTTACTGGTTGAGAACGCACATAAAAGTTTAAATTATAACTATACGCCAAAATGCGCACTTTTCGGGTGTGAACTTGTCACTTCATTAACTGTTTTTGTAATCAAGAACACATAGTGAGCTGCATCTACTTAAAAATACAATGAACGATGGGCTACTTGGAAAAGATATGCAAGTTCATTTTGAATTACGAGGAAAATACCTTAAAAGTTCCTTTCCTGTCTTTGCCTTTATTTGCTAATTTGCCTCCGCCCCAAAGGTACAGTCGAAACAGAAAATGACTTTTTGTCTGAATGCCACTACTCGAACTACCACAAAATTCGTGCATCCTACTTCATCAAGTTGTTATCCTGTCAGCCTTACAAACTAATTAAAAGGACTTAAAAACCCCTTTGCGCACACCATAGCTCCCTTGCACTTCAGCCCAAACCTCTTGCTCCTCGTTGACAGAGCATTCTATATGAAAGATCATGTGTACTACGCATCTACATTTTAGTGGAAATCAGGCGCCAGAAGAATGAATATATTACTGTCAGACCTACATTCTCACACGCGACCTAGGCCCTATTGTGACATCTTACAAGTTGGTCTTAGTATAGCTCATTAATTTGCCCCAATTAATGCCTTAATGAGAGTAACCCTGTTACTTACGTCAGTAGATCCACACATTAGTATAACCACACAATTTAATTTACCAATCTACGGTTACTATTCTTACGTAATCATCGTATAATGATGGTACATGTTCATAATTTCTTAGGAAAATATCTCATGGTCAGTATTCTAACTAGCGCTGCAGCTTGAATATTGACTTAGACCGCAAAGTAAAATGGATCAACTCGTTATGAGTGTGGCTTTATTATGATACAGCAATCATGGTAAGTATGATTGAAAGGACGGTCACAGTCTTTTAGATTATGCAACGACCTTTGTGACCCAAATAGAATGTCCGAGTAGTTGCGATTAGTAAAGTGCGCAGTTTCTTCGTAATCACTCAGTTAACTCTAACAAACAAAGGACCGTTATGGCCACGTATGATACATGACTGTAAAATTGAGTTTGGGCGAATAAACGAGTCCTGTTTTAGTGTCTAAGGCCTCTTTTCCTTCTGAAAGTGCATTCCATGCGCTATGTGACATTGGTCTGGTGGGAAAGGAACTGTGGGTTTGGCTTGAGGACGACATGGCTGTGCGGCTGTCTTTTCGGCTTGACAGTATCCCTGTACGTCTTGACAGACTTCTGAAGGCTTCATAAAAGGTTCAGAGGTCTTCCACTGTGAAATGCATGGTGCCTGCGCCCGCATCTGATCCTTCTTCACGGCCTGCTGAATAGCCGCATTGTGCATCAGGTCGCCAATATTTGCCCCTTTAAATTGGGGCTCCTTTAATTGATCTTGGACATACTGGCCAGTAACGTTGTCATAGCGAATCAGTCTTGAGTCCCGATCTTGTGCAATATTGCGTCGTACTCCTTCGAACGGACTTAAGGAATTCCAGGTCACGGTTTCCAACATTCGAGCAAAAATCTAGAAAGAAAGCACTTGAATTCTAAGAACAAGCGATGTGTTATAACATTTTTAAACAATTGCACCACTGGTACAGTTTTTTTCATATAATTTCGAAATAAGTTTCTATACTTTAAGAGGAATTGACTATCGTAATTCATAAAATAATCGGTGGGGTTTGTGCAATAAAAATCGATAATAACTATCTGGGTTCTTTCAGTCGGTTTTTACGAGAGAGGTCGAGCTAACCGTTA